ATTTATTTTGATCAGTTGATTTTTAATAAAAATATGAATTGATTGTGAGTTTTATCGAGAGAGTATCTCGTTTTACGTGTTTTACGAGAGAGTATCTCGTTTACTCGTTTATCCTTCCTATTCGTACGCTTCCTTATATCATCAGGTCGGCATCCCATATCTAGAAGGAGGTTCCGACCTCGGAGAATGCTTTGGATGTCGTTGTGGCTGACTTTCACCTTCTTCAGCTCGGCACCTCGTCAACCGGTCCGAACCGTGAGGTCGTCGTCTGCCGGTTTCCCGTTGCCGAACCATAGATTTCCAGTCGTGCCGATCTGAATATTAACAAGGACTAAAAAATCCTTTTATATGTTCGTTTGTTTTTAAAATGGACTAATCCCAAATGGGTATCAGATAAATGATGAAATTGCTAATTTTTCAATATATCACGCTAACACCATGACAAAATTTCTATTATTTATTTGTCTAAATGATCATGAACTAAAACCCAAAGTGAACATTTTATGGAATAAAATCTTAAATTGCGACCAAATAAAAGACAAAATACTATTTTTGCATGTCGGTTTCCTAAATCGACAAGGAACTGCAAAAAATTATTAATACCAAATCAATTGTTAATGTTACACAATGTGTGTTTAAATTACAACGGGAACCTATGAACTGACTGAAATGTTCAGTTCGTACAAGAAGAACTATAAGAAGAAATGGAAAATACAACTCGAATGCGGACAGATTAGAGCCGAGGCGATTGAAATCTTTCCGCAAGACAAATACGCCCCGTATAGTGCTGACGGGTCTGTGCGTAATGCCCCCAAAGATACAACGGCTAAACACTCGGAAGCGGTAGCACACCAGCCTTCAGAGTTCCGGCGAACGGGACTGAAGTCGAGAACTGAGCACTTTTGATATGATGCGTGAGGCTTTGATAGTATTCTGATGCATGCAATGTTGTCCTTTTTCCTATGCAATTCTAAGTCCTATTTATAGGACTTCCACCTTGAGGGAGAACCAGGAGTTACATCAGCCACTAAATGCTGAGATAAATGGGCACCATTAACCTGAAAACGTTTCAGGTATTACTCCACCATTAACCTGGTGTTACTACACCTTTAACCAGACATTAACACCCCACATGAAAGGTCAGGTGTTATATTTCACATGAAAGGTCATGTGTCCAGATCCATTGTACTTGGAGAGGTCTGACTCGGGTTGGATCAAAACCGAGTCCACATCCAACTAGAATTGGATTTTTCATTTGGGCCTAAAATTGCAAATAAATTTGC